TCAACACGCGTCTAAGTCGCGAACAGTAATCAGTGAACGTCTCAAATATCACATCTAAATCACGAACGAACTCATTTATATCTCGAGTAATAAAGACCGAAACCACGAACGAATCGACTAATATCTCGAACAACGAACCTTCAATCGAATCGTCACATCACAATTATCACTTAAAACCAGGCTCCAGAGCTCATTAAATTGTGACTGAGTCAGAATAGTGTCGGGTGCCCGAATCCGCGCTGTTCACGCAACAGTATGAGCTTAAAAAAAACCTAGGCATAATCATTGCGATACCTATCTACAAAGATACCGTAACTTTTGTAATTTGAGGAAAAAACACCGTTTTTTGACGTTTCTTTACATCAATATTACGCATCAAAAAAAAAAAAAAAAAACATTTAATCAAAAACTGATATACCCATCCTAAAGGGTACATTCTTCCCTTTCTGGAAGCGTCCTTGCAATTTTTGTTCGATGGTGCGTTCATGAGATAATGACTATCACAGGAAAAAGCGTCATTTCGGCTTTGGTAGTTCATAACTTTGCGACTGATCATCGAAACGAGCTTCATGGACGTGCAAATTACAGGAGAAGGAATAGGGAAGAGCAGTCTAGAAGTGGCATTAATCAAAAAAATTTTCCTATGTCTATACAAAACTTAAAAGAAAGAAAAAAAATTCTAAAATTTTTCCATCGCGATTTTTTACATATTTCATTAGTGATAAAAGGCCCAAAAAAATTTTGAGATAAAGGATCGAAAACTAGAGACCTGAAGCTTTAAAATGACTATAATGGAGGTTTTCTGTGATGAATTTCAACGGAGGCAGAGGAATTTGAATATGACCTAAAAATTTAAGGAATTTTTCTGTTCCCTTAATTTTTTTGACTAGTGTATTACATATTAATTTATTGAAAATTTTAACCTTTTTTGTGAATGGTAATTTTGCTGCAATGACATGTAGTTAGCTGTAATTACAAATGGCTGCTTGTTTAAGATGGTGTAAGTGTTTTTAAATTTTCAGTGCTTGCAAGTAAATATATTTGTTGATATTTATAATGAACATATAGATTTTGTAGAAGTTATGGAGATGAAGGTAATTAATTATTACAGCATTTTCGGGGTGAAATTAATTTAATGAAATATTATCTAATAATTAAACTCAAATGTTTAATTCGATAGTTCAAAAATTTAATAACACAAAAATTTCAGAAATTCGGAAATTCGGAAAGTCGGAAATTCGGAAATTCAGAAATTCAGAAATTCAGAAATTCAGAAATTCAGAAATTCAGAAATTCAGAAATTCAGAAATTCAGAAATTCAGAAATTCAGAAATTCAGAAATTCAGAAATTCAGAAATTCAGAAATTCAGAAATTCAGAAATTCAGAAATTCAGAAATTCAGAAATTCAGAAATTCAGAAATTCAGAAATTCAGAAATTCAGAAATTCAGAAATTCAGAAATTCAGAAATTCAGAAATTCAGAAATTCAGAAATTCAGAAATTCAGAAATTCAGAAATTCAGAAATTCCAACAAATGGAAACTTTAAGAATTTATGCACAAGCAATTTCGAAATTTGTCAACGAATTTGTGAATTTCGAAGTTTGGAGTTTAAAGAATTACTAACTTAGAAATTGAGAAATGAATATATTTTCAAATTTAAACATTTATTGCTAAAATTAAAAAATGAAGGAATTTGGAACTGAGTAGATTTAGTAATTTGTTAATTCAGACAGTTCAAGTTTACAAGTTTTCAAATTCTAATATTGAGAAATGTACGGTATTAACACAATTGACCATCTCCAGTCTTAACTTATCATGTTCGATACTTTCAAGCGCAATCTTAAGTACACTTTTCAAACTTTCCCGATGATTGCAGTTCTAGCCAACGGCAGATTTCATAAATACATTATGATCTATAATAAGTTTTATCGATAATATCAAGATACTACAAATAAGAAGGCACGACAAGATAATATAAATGAGAAGAAAGAAGTCCACTTTTCCAATTCTTCAATGCCATTTCTATTAGCATTGCAAAGAGCAAATACTAACTGACAATGCGAACCTGTCAATTTTCACTGTATTTTTCTTTGAACTAAGACGATCTTTAATTCATATATCGATGCTCTAGGAATTTGACTTGTGGAACGGCACAACTCGTCTCAATCAGATTAATGAATATGATTAAAGTAGATCGATGAATCTGCATCAAGTTTTGATGCAAACCGATCATTTCGTGGTAACGATTTGAATAATTAAGAAGGCCGTCGAATTCAATAAGTAAAATTAATATTGGTAGCTAAAGATAGAAATGCAGCTTAATAAAGAAAAATTAATACATCAATTGCAGGTCAGCCTGGCTTAGGTTTTAGGTCAGACTATAAAGATATACGGGCTATAAAGTATATCGGAATTCTTTGTTAACTGTGATAGTACATGCGCAACTATAGTGTGACTGAGGGATGCATAAAAGGGGCCACAGCTGTGAGCAAGTGGTGACTAGCACCTTCATCATCCCAATCTGTCCATTCTTCATGTGCCGTTTTTTAGTTAAACATTGTATCATTCAAGCCTGTCCACTCTTCTACAATCCGAATTTAGCTTCCTGTGATTTCTAACTTTTCCAAAGCTAAGGTCGTATTTCAAAGCTTTCATATTTTTAATTGTAGGAGTAATATTTTAATACAGAGGATACTTCAAGTCGTAGATACTCCAAATCGTACACATTTTAACACGTTGACTGCCGTGTCACCCGTATTCGGGTGACAGCAAAAGTTCTCATCGGGCCACGTCACCCATATTCGGGTGACAGCAAGAGTTCTCATCGGGCCACGTCACCCGTATTCGGGTGACTTCTTCCAAAGAATTTCCGAACATATTTAGATAATTATATGACAGAAGATAATAATACTGTTGAATTTTTTTAATAGTAGTAGATATCGGGGTGAGAGTACCGAAAGAAATGTAAACAGACATGCGGTAGCAGAGCACGCATCTTACAGTGGCACGGGTGGCCTGACGGGGATTTTGTTGTAAACACGCGTGGCAGTCAACGTGTTAAATCGTTGATAAGGTGAAGTGGGGTAAGTTCGTAAACGGGACAACTGCGTATACAGGCTATTTTTATTACAATATAAGCGAAATTTCTCCATTTAGTATGTTTGTTTCCTTGTTTTGTTTCACTATATCCCCTTTGATATTTCAGCTAAGAGTATTTGTTTGCAGTATAGAGTACTTGCATAATGCGGTAAAAAACATTTTATAGCAGATTTGTTAATAATTCTGCTCTTGCCCCAATGCTCATGAAAAAAAGTTTCAAAGTATTTAACTTCAAGTTACGCTCTTACCCTTTTTTCGGGGAAAGTGCAGAGTAGTTGACATTTTAAACAATTTCCTATCAAAATCAAAATGTACAAGGAAAATGAAGGTCCTTGTTAATATTAATTAAACAGTAGTAATTGTGCAAAGCGTTCGATATCGACAGCATTAAGTATTTACATAACAGGCTGAAAATACTTACGTTTAAATACCAACTTTACAAAAACTAGTCTGCACTTATCCCACTTCACCTTACTTCAAATTGTAGATACTCTTAATCATTTAATTTGAAATATTTGATATTGTAAATCAATTAAGTAGAAAGATAACACATTTTGTTCTTCTGTACGTCAAGTGATTGTACAGTTTGCGGATAGATTTCATAGTTAAACATGTGCAATATGCTACTTATATAGGGTGTTCCTAACTTCACCATCTTGAAAATCATGCTTATTTTTTACAATAGAAGATGAAGGCATTAATTCATCAGATTACTTTGAATGATCCGTTAGAGGTTGTTAACATTGCTTACATCGTACATGGACCATGTTGTCAGTGGTGTAAGCAACATCGTATTTCAATGAAAAAAAAACGCACCACTAGTAATGCATGATTTGATTTTCAGTCAGTCAAGAAAATAGTTTGGCGGTTCGGCTAGCTATAGTAGAAGGACTAGAGAAAATAAAGGAGAGGGAGAACATTTCGTCCGGGACCTGCTAGTGGACTCGTCAGTCAGGCGTTCTAGCCCTTACCTTAGACGCGGAGATGTAAGGAAGGGATGAACAGGAACTATATATGTATATGAATAGGAAGGCTCTTTGAGTGCTAGCGAGAAAGTTTAGGTCTCGATTCTATGCGCCGTCTAGTGGCGATAAGCGTGGGAGTGAAGCCGTCACAATAGTCTCATTTAAAAAACTTGAATGAGTGGAAATGCAGAAAACATGACTTTCAGAAAAATTTCTTAATCACTATAATATTTGCTCGTTTGAATAAAATAATGTTTTTCTCTGAAATTTTCTTCTATTATAAAAAAAAAGCAAGATGATCAAGTTTTGTGAGATACTCTGTATATAATTTTTATCAAAAACAAATCACACGATTGTTTATGATTCAAAATTTTTGATTGCCATGTTTTTGATTTAATTTTGTCCAGATTCTAGCGTACTAAAATTTTAGCGTACTTCTAACGTATTCTAGTGCATTTATAGCATGTACTAACTGTAATGCGTGTACTAATCTATAACTGTATTCTAGCCTGTTCTCACGCACCTTTCGAAATTATCCAGTCAGAGTCAAGTCTAATTATATAGGTGCACGATATAGCAATAGTATACCGATCATGCATTAATGTCGGCTTTCACTAATATCGACGACGTAGAGTGCCTCAAATTACATGATTATATTAATCTGTTTACTATTATAATTTTGAATAGTCTGTGAATATACGTGCTAATACATATTGTTCTCGTTGCACGTGATTCATGCAAATAAATAAATATGTTTCATAACTAATGCTATGGCGGTTCTATTTAGTTTAAATCTAGTAATTGTGCGTGAACGGTGATCATGGCACAGTAATACCTGATATTACATGACGAGCTGTTTATAACATAATCGTATTATGATGCTGAAAACAAAAAGCCTTAAATAAATCGAGAGCAACGAGTGGATTGGTGAAACATCACATCTTATCATAAGATAATATTAATTGATAATTGTTCGGCCGCGAATCGAGACCTTTGCCGCGTTTCAAAGGGTCTATTATTTCGTCACGTATTCTAAAAATCTCGTCTAAAGTATTTGCCCCTGTTAAGAGGTCGACGTATAAATCGCGTTTTAGAATTTTGGAGACATATGGAAAATCCGCGCTCTCATCGTCTGCGAGTTGCTGTATTGTACGGATTGCGAGAAACGGTGTGGAAGATACGCCGAAAGTGACGGTATTAAGTTGAAATGTTCGAACGCGATTATGATCATACCAAAATACGCGTTGGTATTTACGATCTTCTGGATGAATCAAAATTTGTCGGTACATCTTTTCGATGTCGGCAGTGACGACGTAGGTATGCGTGCGGAACCGGAGTAAATGCTCGAAAAGTTTATCTTGTATTGTGGGACCGATCATGAGTCCATCATTTAACGAAATGTTTTTGTCTGTTTTGGCCAATGCGTCGAAGACGACGCGGACCTTAGTAGTCGCGCTCGGAGCCTTTAACACGGCGTGATGAGGCATATAGTAACCGTTCGCGGATTCGTCATCTACCGGTGACATGTGTCCGAGATTAATATACTCTTGCAATATTTTCGTGTATTCTGTTTTTAGTACTGAAACTGACTTTAATTTCCTCTGAAGAGCATGAAAACATCGCAAAGCAAGTCGTCGAGAGTCGCCGAAATCCTTATCACCGGATCGGAATGGCAATCGCACTAAATAAGTATCACCATGTTTCATTACGCGTCGTGTTCTGTGCGCAATGTGACTCACATAAGGATTCTTCCGAGAAATTTAATGTTTCCGCAACCACGTTTTCTATTAGCCAGAATTCAACTATCTGATCCTTTAAAGTTCAATGTAACACTTATTATCTTACTCTATTCTTACTCTATAGTATAAAATCATAAGGTAACAGTATCACACATAACGCTGTAAGTACGCGGATCGCTACCTCCTCTACTCCACAGTCCAAGGTCCACTCACCATGTCACCTTAGAAGCGTATTCACACGAAATAGGCGCGAAGCGCCTCGGGGGTTGGACCGCGAAGCGACCAGTGGGCACCGCCCCCTAGTATTTAATAATACAACTACAAAAAATTGTAAAGTACAAGTTTATGAATTCCGTCGGACGGCACGTAGAATATGATTTTAATGTTGTTCGTATGCTAGTATGTTTTTATCTGCTCTTTCTCGCAAAATTTTCTATCGACGTTAACTTTTTCTTATAGTGGAGGCTTCTTCTAACAACGTTTCTGATTGGGCATTTGAAATTTTCTCTATTTTTTGGAAGTGGCATACACTTGGTGGGGACTACCGTTAGACTCGGGTAGGTTCTCTGGAGCTTCGATGTTTAGGGCGGTTAAGATTGTAAATTTTTTAAACTTTCCCAAGTGTGTAAAACCGGTGACCTTTTTATGGCATCTATAAGGGTAATTATGTATATTACTGAACTTTTTGGCTTTATGATCTTAGGAGGTTTTCTCGAAATATGTTTTTCAAATTGCCCTACCTGGATAGTTAATTTTTGTTGCCTTGGGAGGTCACGGGTCACCTAGATGAATTTATAAATTTGTACAATATTTGTTACGCAGTAACACTAGGGTTATTCATAGAAACTTCGTAAAACCGGATGTCATTTATTATTAACCGAAATATCGTTAATTTCTTCAGTTATCATGAAATAAAATTTATTTAAAAAACTGTTTCACACCACTGTATAGCTTCAAGAATTTAGGGCTGCAATAAAAATAGTCCCGTTATTCTCGAGGTATACTATATGGAAACACCGTTTTAAAATTCTGGACAATTGCGCTTTATTCTTGTCCGTTTATCCAAGACTATGCATAATAGGTTACAACAACCGAATCCCAACGAAGTGGACGATTCTTATCATAACACCGTCTCAGAGGATGAGCTCTGGATAAACGATGAGTTACGGTACCAGCGAGAACAGAACCGTTTCCGTCGTCAGGGGTTGGTTAATCCGGTTAATCCAGAAGTTACTGGTCGAATCAGCGGAAGAGAGGGGCATGGACAGTTAAGGTAAATCGGTGGTAGAAGCGGGACAGTCCACCTTCTTGTTCTATTATTGGAATGAAACTTCTGCCTCCACGAGTTGAAATCCAATCGATTCTTATTTATCGCTTTTCATCGTGACCACTTGGTTGTAGACGACAAACTCACCCTGGGGAAATGTCTCTAGACCTGTTTCGAACTTGTTATCCGAGAAATTTGAACACTGCAACACGTTTCTCTACTAAGCGTTCCAGTTCGTCGTTGTTCCTTTCCCGAACAATGGTAATGACACCAATTTCGGTCATACATCAAAATTATACTCTTGTAAGTGATCAGAGTCGCATTAAACACCTCAGAATTTGTACATTGTCACGTCTGGATTATTACAGTCATATTAGGTGTCTAAAAACAGCTCTACTTTGGTATTTACTTTTGTTTTCATACATTGTTATCTTCAGATTCAGCAGTCCTTCCATGAGTCAAACTTATAAGATGTTTTCATTTTCATTAATGTTGTTCATGTTTTTCTACTGAGAATGTATTTTAGATTTTTCGTTACCTGTTTCAGATACAGTGCTGTGTTCATAAATGATATTAATAATAAATAATGATATAAGATCAAGTAACTGAAGAAGTACAAAAATACTTCTTTCACAACATTTAAAAAGTATTGCTTTCTATAAAATGTTCTTTGTAGCTTAATCTAGCCACCCTAAAGAAAAAAAATTAAATTTTCGTGAAATAAATTAGTATTGATAATGAATTTTATTGACGTATTACAAATACAACTTGCTTCGCAGTTGTTATTATGTCATTATTATAATTACTAGATTTTTATATTAAGTAGTTGTTATACTGTGCTAATTATAACTTTGTTGGCTACTTTTTTTCTTAGCAAAATATTTGTTTTAATTTCTAACAAAAGTATGGTTCGGCCGCGAACCGAAACCTTTGACGCGATTAAACGATTTCCGCATGAATCCATTAAAATTCCGTCAAATTTGCGTCTCGCCGACCCCGAATTTCATATACCGTGACCTGTCGATCTTTTAATCGGCTCCGGAGCAACTTTATCGTTAATCTCGATAGGTCAAATTAATTTATCTCGCGACAGTTGTGATCTTATTTTACAAAAAATCCAGCTCGGATGGGTAATTGTAGGCGGCACGGTAGATAGCGCGGAGAATCAAAAAATCATTTGTAATCTTACAGAATTAACATATTATTCACTATCCAATATTTTCAAATATTCATTCGCTGTGAAGTCTGCGTGTAAAGTGAGCATTCTCGAAAGTATCTTTCAATATAAAAAATTTACTATTTTGCTCACGAGTTAACACCTAGTAACAGTTTATTTACAGTAAAGATTATGAACATGGATGTACGGAATAGTTCAATTTCTATTAAAATCAATAACTATTGAGCATAATTCAAATTTACATATCTTTTGCCTATAAATGTAAATGTTATTACTTACATGTAATATATCACACAACATATTGATATATCGATTGCAATAAAAATAAAAAATGTGTTTTTAATTCCGTGTTCCAAACGTAACGTATACATTTGACGATACAGGTATTTATCTATGCTTGTATTTTATTAAGAAACATGCTCGTCAAATATCGTATTGTGAGAAATAATTTTATCGCGATATTAAAAAATTATAGTAATACTTTCATAAGACAATTTAATTACAATAAAAGTTATGGACATGGATGTAGGGAATAGATTAGTTCATATCAGAAATAGTAACTCTTGAGCATAGTTAAAATTTACATACCTTTGGCAAACATAAAAACAAATGTCAAAAAACTGTTTGTAGTATATAGTTCTATACGTCCAAATAAATGTTTGTAAACAAATATTTGTAGACAGTTTTTGTACCGTTTTTAAGCAATTGTTTCAGTGTTGTAGGTCAGCAATACGTACGTCTGAACTAGGCTATTTTAAAGTTCCATCTGAAAACGATGACGTGGCAGACAGTATCAGGTCATCTTTAACTTATAATACAATGTCTGTTATACATGCTATGAATTTAGCATTTTAATAGAAAATGTTATTTAATACTACTTGCAGGGAAGTGTATATGCGTGTAGGGTTATGTGCAGTTTATTATAATTATATCAATGTATATAAATATTTAATAATTATTTACAATGTGAAATTTTGTTTATATTTTTAATAAAGTTATTTATTTTACGTTATTATTTGGTATTTTTAAGTAAAAACAGAAACATCATATGTTGGTTTATTTGAAATTAGTACATTCAATCTTGATGCAGAAATAAATTGTGTCGATAAATCAGTATTTATTTCAAATAGATTAGTAGTAAAACAACAGGTACTTAGATTGTGCATTGAACGCCGGATTCTTTTACGAGCGTTTGATCGCAACTTTTCCTGTGTGCCTCGCATAGTAATAGTCTTCTTTACGAGACAATTTATTAATAATAAAATTTCTTTTAAAATCAAATCACAATTTCATTTAATTATAATCTATTTTTGATATCATATTATTAACAAAAATATGCAATTTTTAAGAATAATTTAAATTTTTTATCCTTAAGAAATCTTATTTAGTCGAAATTTGTTTGTAATGAAAATAAGATATCGTACAGTGATAGTATGAAGTAGATTTTAATATAATACAGTGGTACTGGTCATTAATCACGGAAATGCTTTTAAAAATGCTTTGCAAGATACTGTTTAAATAAATTGCGACATAAAATCTGAAAAATACTAAAATATAAAAAAAAAATGTTAAAAAGGAATTCTGAAAACATCAATTACAGTAAGATTTGAACTCGCAATCTCCCATTTATAACAGTAAAATATTTCCCGTTGAGCCAAGTCAAAAGATAAAAATGGTTTCTGGTATAATCCATTTATTTTGCTCGAAATTCGAAATTCTTGAAAATCGCTTTTGTGGAAGTTGTTTAAAGCAAGAATTTTATAGCTTATACAAATATTAAACCCTTAGTAATGACATTTCGGTACAGAAAAATAAATTTTTAATAAAAATACCACTATCTGGCTGTCATCTTGTCAAGGTATGATATTGTAAATTTTATGATATGTATACTCTATAATGTAAATTTCACATATACTGTATAATGTAAACTACATCATATGTACACTGCATAATTTAAACTATATTATACATATATGTATGTTGTACGCGCATAACGTATTTGCGACATAATACAATTTGTTATCTATCCAGTTAACTGTGGCGATCTTTTTGCAAAGCGCGCACGAGTGTGTGTCGCGATGATCAAGCGATAACAAGTTAGCTCTCAAGAATTTATGAATCCATCTCAAATCATTTACACTTTTTATTTGTTTATTTCATTTTGTGTTGATCTCTCAATATTTTAAACACATTACAATTTACGAATATAATTTAGTTTTAAAATTACGATTTAAATATCAAATTGTAACAAAATTTTACAACATAACGGATATAGTCGTCATGACACAAAATTCTGCCACATCTCCATAACGGATATAGTCGTCAAACACACTTAACTGATTAATGTACGTGTTCTAATGTAGGAGAGAGCGGAAGCAAAAGTAATGATGTGATGAAACTAACACACCTTTTTTTCACTTGCATAAATGTTTTTAAACAATTTATTTTTCACAGTTGCATGTGCATAACATCTGTTTTATTCTGTTGATTGTCACTGAGCCATTACATTCTCTTAAATTCCAT